CCCCTCACCTCCCTCTGTCTCTCGCTCGGCCTCAATTTCTTTTGCAATAGAATAATCATGGTGGTACACACAAAGAGCCAAAGTGTAAAAACTTACTAGATCTTTGGGGAAAAGGTCCCAAATTGTACTACGATAGAGCATAGTAAATTTAGTCTTTTTTTCTGTCTATGTATTTATTTTACTGAATTGAGAATTTGAAATCCGCTATTGCTTCTGAAAAAAATTGTAACAAAAGTTCTGGTTGTCTCTTTTCACCACTTCAACATGAACACTAGTGCTAGTGATACAACACACACACACACACACACACACACACACACACACACACACACACACACACACACATTTTTAAACATTATTATAAAACCCCAAAAATGTCAAAAGTTGCGATTGATTATGTGGTGTATTATAATCTCTTACATAGCTTTAAGAATAATGCATCAACGCTTTTCGTGCCTCAATGGTAAATTGTAGTTGTTCTGTTATCCCAAAAACAGGCAGTCTTTTTCCTCCCAGAGTTACCACACAATCAAAGCCGTGCACCCAACAAGTTACAAGTTTACGATAACAATTATAACAATATCATATTATTTTATATATATTACTACATGTTTATTACTAGGATGCATAGTATAGAGTCTACAATAAACAACAATAGGACCTGTCCATTAGCCCACTTTTCATTCCCACTGATGTTTGGCTTGAAGCAATGAACGATTATCTTCCTCTGTGAATCACGATATCACGTGACAAATTAATGGCACGACTTTCAACTTCGACGATTCACGTGGCGTGCACATTGTGTATGATAAAACTTGAAGTGGTAAGGGATAAATGTTAAAGAGAGAATCATGTCACTTTACGAACATGTGTTGGCGAAATCCATTCTGTAAACGAACATAAATTCTTGAGGGTAATTTTTCCAAAGCCCAACCTTTGGTGAGCAAATCGCTTTAGCCGGATTGTTTTTGTTTGAAAAACATTTTGTTTGTTTTGGGGTTGTTGTTTTTTGGGGGGGGGTTGTTATTCTTTGTTGTTGTTGTTGTTGTTGTTGTTGTTGTTGTTGTTGTTGTTGTTGTTTTGCCTTGTTTTGTTTTTAATAAGAGAACTTTAGAGTTTAGATGAATGAACTGCGGGATGAGTTGTGACCATAGGCTTTTCATTTGGGCAGGCATGACGATCAAAGTTTAAAAGGGATTTTGACAAATTTTACTCTACAGGTTTAACATTTCACGTTGACTTAGTTAATTGTCACTATGAAAGTTTTCTTTTCATGTGAATTACAATAATATTCTGCCTAAAATTTGTAATACTTTGAACACAATGACAGAAGCGTAACGTCTTAAGTTCGATCCTTGTCATCTACACTACATGCATTTAAAGGGTCAACTATTAGTCCACATTGTAAAGTGCAAGACCTGAGACAGACATTAGTGATTTTTCTGCCCAGAAGCTCTCAAAACCTATATATAGCTCTTTCACCGTCACCAATCTGTTAAAGTTGTCCAATTTGATTGTTTCAAGTCAACCTCTACTTCATTAACCCTCTTAGGGGGGGGGGAGGGGGATGGGGAGTTGTTCAGTTTTGTTTTTTTGCTGCTTTTTATCTTTGTTTGTTTGTTTGTTAGTTTGCTGTTTCCCAGTGAAAGCAAGACGTTCAAGGCGAACGTTTCACGGCAATATAATCGTGTAGGTTTTTTAAAAGATTTATAAACAGTTAGTTTTAGTCAGAGTTTTACGGAACTTTCAATCTAATAAATAGGAGAGTATGTGGGAGATAGAGGGTGATTGGATTATCGTTTCGTCCATGTGTCATTCTTTGAATTATTTTTTCATCATGCTTTTCTTCCCCAAATGCGAAATCAAATTACTAACGTGTATGACTGTCTTAATCAAGCTTATAACCATTATATAGTACACCATTTAAATAATGAGTACTGCAGTTTGTTTTTAAGACTTTTTTATGAAAGTCATCAGAACACCGCCCTTTTCATACTTGATATATTTTAGACTGGCGATTTTGGGTTCTTTTCTTAACGTCAGTTTATCATTGTAAACTCCCTGAAAAAGTGTTTTTATTCCAAAACGTTACTTTATTTTTCGCTCTGCAAAATAAGCGTAAACAAAACCTGGCCGTTAGTGGGAAAGCCGTCTATAAGACACCAAAGTTGTCAATATCCTGTACGGTACAAATCTGCAAATAAGAATACAAGGTATAAAAAAGAGACCCTCCGTAATTAAGTACAGTATTTGAGCTATGCTAAATTAAAAAGCGATGCAGGTAAACTATGTATTTTAAGCCACGAAGCATAATATTATTATTCACTGCGTCTGTACTATGATTGACTCAGATCAGAAGCAGTCACTATTTCATACTACATTGAGTTATGCGAGTTTTCATTTAGGTTTTTTTTTCCATTTCTCAAAGTATGTATTGAAAATTTTCAACTTTTGATATGTTTAAAGGTACCTATACAAGAGTTATTTGTTGTAAAGTTTTCTCTTCAATGTTTTAGCTAGATTCAGAAATGAAACAAAACTCCTCCAAACAGAAAGCAAAAAAAAACCCAACAAACAAACAAAGGAAATCGATTTTTAATGGTTTGAATTTACAAAATAAATGATAATATGTTGGGGGGTTTTTCAACCAAAAATGTTTCAAAAACTTTACCCAGACGGCCAGCCACATGAAAATATTTTCTGCTAATCCACAGCGCAAATTTACAGCAATGTTAGCCGTTATGAGCATACTGAAGGCTTAGTCACCGAACTATGGATTTTCTCGTGGCTTAATCAAATAATCTACGCGGATTTGCAAGGCCTACAAGTTCAGGTGCCTGGATTGTTCGAAGTTAGGGATTATCTCGGGTAAACGCCAACAAGATTTGTAAAGATATTATAAGGGAGAGTTTTTTTTTCTTTCTTCCTTTCTTTGTACTAGCATTGTTAAGTGTGTCAAGGGTTTGGG